TGAACAGACCTGTCCTCCATGAATTTATCCAAGTCTTTTTTGAAGCTGTCCTAGCTAGTGGACATCATCTCATTTTGCAGTAATGGATTCCAGAGGGTACTTATGCATTGTGACAAGCTGCTTCCTTTCGTCTGTTTTAAATTGCCTTATGGGTTGTCCCCTCATCCTAGTGTTTGGAGAGAGGGAGAAAAGCTTCTCCACATCCACTTTTTCTATGGCATGCATGGTTTTATACACCTCACTTATGTCCCCTCCAATTGCCCTTTTTTCCTGGCTTAAGACCCATGTTCTGGCCTTCCTTCCTTGGGAAGATGTGGAAGCCATCTGGTCATTCTGGTTGATCTCTTCTGCTCTCTTATATCCTTGTAATAATAAGTGTGGAGAACAGAACTGTACACAGTGGTCTAGATTTACATAAGGGCATTATAATACTGGCCGTTTTATTTTCAATACTTTATCTAATGTTCTCTAGCATGGAATTCACCTTTTTACAGCAACATTTTCACTGAGATCTCCACGATGACCCCAAGATCTTTCTTCAATTTGTTATAGACAGCTCAGACCTTGCCAGTAATTAGATGAAGTCAGGTTTTGGCCCAGTGTGTTTGTGTTATTTAGGTGGAACCAAGTTTGCCATTTGTGCTTTATTCTCTTCCTCCTCAAAGCTGTGTTCGCATAACATACTTAACCAGATCAAGACCTAGTAGATGTATTCCCATATGCTAATTTTGTTAAATTTGGTTGGGTCTTTTCATGCCACAGACCTAGCCTGTCTGGCTATTGGTGAATGAACTGTGTGGTCCCTCAATATGAGTTACCAGACTGAGTGAAGGCCATCTGATATTGCCCATCTTCTTTTTCAATCCTTCTCCTCATGCCACTGACCCTATAAAATTGAAGAGAGATCCAAGATGGCGGCTGCCAGCAAACGCCGGTCATTGCCGCTGCATTGGGGGGTTTTGCAGTTTTGACCCCTCTCTCCTCGGGATTTTACCATCTTTTAGGGGTGCACTGGGTGCGGAGGAGACCGCAAGGGGTTTTTACCCCTTTTGGTGTGTCGACTCGGGTGCAACCCCTGGATGGAGCGGCAGGACGCTGGCAGAGTGCGGCGGTGTTCGGCGGAGGGCAGCAGCCGTGGGCAAGCCTCGGGTGAGTTCCGGTGTGGCGCAGCTCCTGTATGGTGCGGCGAGCCCCCAGAGCAGAGAGCTTTGTTGGTCCCCGGCATAGTGGAGACTCTTGATGAGCCCTGGGACGGCGTGTCGAACCCCAGGGGGTACCGGCGCAGCGCGGTGAGCCTACTGAGCCCACCTAATCTCAGAGCGGCCCTCGCGGACCTTGGTGCGGGCAGCCACCTACGGTGAGCCCTGAAATGACGTGGCCCCGGGGGGGGCAACAAGCCGCAGCAAGTCCTGGTGATCCCCAGTGCAGTGCGGGAAGCCCCGGCGAGTTCCAGCACGGCGCAGCAAACCACAGCGGGCCCCGGTGCGGTACACCAAGCCCCAGGCCCAGCAGGCCCGGCAAGCCCCGAACGCAGTATACCC